AATATTAAAGTCGCTTGCTCAAATAATCCATTGCAGGGTATATTCACATGAGCTTACGGAAATTTCTTGGCTGCCTAGTAGATATAGAGTACTAAAAGAATACTTCTAACTTTTGTGCAACCCACTTTACCAGCAATGCTCTTGAAGCTCAAGCAGCAGCCATGGCAATATCATATCTTCCCGGTACGTGTGTTCCATAATAACTGTATTCAGCCTCTGTTAAACACCGGGAGGAGAACCAGGTATGAGAGGGAGGCAAGCATAAGCCTTGGAGTCACTAATGATAGCGAGCCCTTATCTGCAGAGAGAAAAACTCCTCCTCCACCAAGGCCAGAACATGACACACAAAGGGAAGAATCTACCTCAAAACCTCAGGTGCTGGATACTTTAATGAAAGATGAGGAAGAGATGATCCAATTGTTTGCCACCCTCACCTCTGAGGCACAGCAATTGATTTTGAATAAACTAGAAATAGTTAAAGCAATGCTCCTATCAGCCATGGAGGCAACTGAGACCCTAGGCTCCTTATTCCCCACTACCTGGCCCTCTGTAGAAAAGCTGTTAAGGCCTAGCCCCGAGAGTATAAAATTTTCAACAACAAAAAAACCAGAAGAAGTTGTAACAGCTCGGGGCAGGGTTGTAAAACAGAAAAGGCTAACCAACCAGTCAATGTAATGCAACACCTAAATAACTATTCTGGGAACTGACCCTTAGGGGGTGATTTAAAATCTTTGCCCCCCCCCCCAGAGGCACCCTAGGCAAGCTCTAGAAACCCCCCTGCAAGTGCACCATAATATGGACTCTAATACTGACTTTATCCAGCAAGAAGACACCCCACTTGCTGTTGATCATCCATCATTGCATGCGACCAACACTAGTAGGAGCTTAGAGTCAGAGCAGCCCGTGGACACTGACTACCAGCCTGTCTCTGGCGATATACTCTGTACAGGGGGTTTCCCTTTTGTCACAGAGGGAAGGTGATTTTGTGCAGGATCAGTTGCACCTCTCTCTCTCCTGCTGTGAGGCTCCTTTCAGGTCTCTCTGGGTCTAGGTGGAGAAGCATTCCTTGGTAGCCAGGGTCTATTACATCCTCCTCCGTACATCTATGCCCAGTAGTGCCAAGTCAGTTATTTTTTATTTACAA